ATGTGTCACAGGCGTGTCATCAGGAGGATCCCAGGGCTCACGTTGAGGAAAAACAACCCTGAGTTGGCAGCTGGCAGCTCTTTTGGGGTCTCTGCGCACACAGGGAACAAGCCTGTGACCCAACTCCTATGTCTTAGCTCCAAATTCAGCCTGGAGAAGAGAAGGCTCCGGGGAGACCTTCTAGTGGCCTCCCAGTACCTGAAGGGGCTCCAGGAAGGCTGGGGAGGGACTTTTGACAAGGACAGGGAGTGACAGAAAAAGGGGTGATGGATTGAAACTGGAAGAGGGGAGATGGAGCTGAGATGTGAGGAAGAAATTCTTTGGTGTGAGGATGGTGAGACACTGGCCCAGGTTGCCCAGAGAAGCTGTGGCTGCTCCTCCCGCCAACAAAGCCAGGTCAGGGCCCTGCACAAGGCACTTTGCTCTGCACATGATCCGTGGGGCTCGGTCCACGTGGCCGCTGCAGCCCGGCTGGGCCATGCGGTGCCTGGCGGCACTGGGGCGGGTGTGCAGGTGGTTATCGAACAGCCGGGGTGTGTCTGGCACAGCCCTGCCCCAAGGGCACCCCGCTTCACCTGCCACCGCCCAAGAGGCACCCTGCTGCCCTCCAAGCCCAGCACCGTGCCGCCTGCCTCGGCTCTTGCAGCCACCTTGTGATTAACCTTCTCCTCCTTGATGCCTCCGAGCAGAAGAGCCAGCAGCTGAGGCTCGAAATTCTGAGCCTGGGAGACCTCTCACTTTAACCCAGAGGAGGGAAGGGAGGAGAAATGAGGTCTGGAGGCTAATTCTGGCAGCATCAAGCATGAGAAAGATCAAAAACTCAGGGCAGGAGTACAAGAGAGGAGGGAAGCTGTTGCGTGCATGCTCCTGGAACCCCCCGACAGTCCCGGTTCATGCATGCTGCACGTTATTTCTGTACCTACTTAAATTAAAACCAGCCTTGTCTTGCGAACGCTGACTGGAGCCAGGCAGTTCTTCTCCCCAGGGGAGAATCCAATTTTCACTCCATCTAGCTTGTGTTTTTGACCTGGGATGACTCTTCATATTTAACAAAGGCTCCCTCCAAGCCCTGTACCATGCTGTGCTTCTCACGGCGGTGCCTGCAGTGTCATGGCACATACGTGCTCCAAGGCAGGGAACCAGAGGGGGCAGGTCACTTACCTGGGGTCCAACCGACCGCACGGCAGAGCCGCGCTGTGACCGGATCGGAGGTGACGTGAGATTGTCCTGGCATGGCCAGCCTGGCTGGCTGGTGGGAGAGAGGAGCTCTGGTCCCAGCCCACTCCTGCATCCCCTGCACCTCAGGGTTTGGTTTAGAAATGCCGAGGAAGAGCCGGGCACAGGTACTGGCCATGGCACGGCTGGTGGGGAGGCACCGTGGGGTCACAGGAGGGACCCCACCACACTCAGCCTGAGCCTCTCACCTGCCTGCAGAGCGGCTGCCCTGAGGTCCAGCTCTTCCCCCTCATTTTCTGATAGATCCCTTCACAGCCAGCCCTTCGTAGGGATAACCTGCTCCGAACTCTGTCGGGGCTGGGACAGACCTGGCTGGCAGAGCACAGCCCCGAGGTGCTGCCAGAGCCATGTCTTTCTCATCAGCAGTGTTACCAGGTCAGTTACAGCTCGGAGGTGCCTCATGGGCAGCTAAAGGCACAATAGCTGCTTCCCGGAGGTGCTTTCCTTTCAGCAGCTCAGGTCCTGGTGCAGGACACGTCCCTGCTCCTGAGCTGTTCTTACAGACTAGCCTGCCAGTCCTGGAAATAAAATCTGTCAGAGGCTCAGGAGGCACAGGGGGGTCCAGGTTGGGAGGAGGCTGAATTGGTTTGAAGTATTTATTCACTTGTGAAGTCCTTAAAAACCTCTCCTAGCTCTCTTGAGAACATTAACTGGTGTGACTCATGATCCAGGGCTGCCCCGAGTGCCGTACGCGGTGAGCAGCAGCAGACACCAGCAATGTTGTCATGAGTCTGTGCTGTTGTGGGTGCCTCTTTCTCCAGAATGAGGAGAGGTTTCTTCAGGGTTCTGTAATTCATTGAAGGCACAGCTGGCCTGGTGTGAGCCCCCTTGGTAACAGCTCTCAACACCCCACGTGGCAGTTAGTCACCACAGGCCAGACGTGACGTACCGTGCCAGCCCGGCACTCCTGCCCTCGCCCGCGGCGGGTGATGGACGGGCTGCCCGAGAGCAACGTGTCTCCTCACCCTGTGACTCCGTGGTTACTCAACCCAAGACAGGCGAGTCAATAAGTTGTTCAAGAGTGATGCAGGAAAGGACAAATGTTTAGTGGCTGTTTTCCGCTGTTGGTGTGTCTTACACACCAGATCCATGCAGGGTGGGGAGGAGGGAGCCCTGAGCTGTCGGATCAGCTCCTGTCGGTGAGCTCCAATGCTCTGGACATCCCCTGCTCCCACCAGTGCTGCCCTCCCCGAGGACTGGAGAGGACAGGAACGTTCCCATGCAGCTGGTGCAGGATGGGCATGGGGAATGTGCTTGGCTGTGATGTCCCCAAGCACTGAGACATTGGGGTTTGGCTGCCACGGTGGGAATGGAGGGGGACAGCCTTATTTTCTTCATCCTGAGACAAATGAGTGAGGTTCCCTCAGTGTTTGGTGGCGGTGAGTTTTGCTGAACGTGCAGACAAGCAGGAGGGAGAGCAGCAGCTGGGGGGACCCCACTTGTTCCTGATGCAGTTAGATGATGTCCCCACCTTCAAACCGTGTCCTGAGACCTTGTGCTCAGAAACCCCAAGTGAAGCCTACCTTCTACTGTGGGTTTTTTTTTAATGGTGAATTTAAAAATGCTTTCTTTCTAAAGTGGAGCCAGAGGGTATTCAAAGTTTAATAGCAATCAGGTTCCTGGAGCAGTGAGTGACTGAGAGCAGCCGCATACACGGGCTTCCAGGGCTCAGCTCACACTGTACCAGCAAAATAAACCCTCAGATTAAATGTACACCCTCTTGCAGAACATTGCTCTGGCAGGCTGCTCCATCTCCCTGGCCCACTGTGACCCTACCCTGCGTGGCTCCAGGCTCACTGGCTACTGTCACCTCTCCGGGTGGCTCCTGAGGGTCAGGATCCCATGCAAAAGTCATTAGACTGATAATTTCATTCTTAACTGAGAAAATAATCACTGTGCAATAAAGCAGGAGGTAATTTTTAGGCCTTTGAATCCTGAAAAGCTGTTGCAGATGAATCCTCCTTGCACTTGCCCGGATGCACCGTGGCACCGGGAGCAGAGGCTGGAGGGGGGTGGAAAAGCAATACAGGGTGACTTGTTTTCTTATGAGCTGAATTCCAGCTTTGCACTCCAAATCCCCGTTTTTATAGACTTTTCCGCTGAAGTCTGCTCCTGCCCGGGGCATGCCTGTGTAACCGCTCCTCTCTCTGCATTCCTCAGATTCTTCTTCTGCTTGAGACGCTGGATTGAAGAAGGGATCTGAGGTTCCCTGGTGGAGAAAGGGAGGCGAGGAGGAGGAGAAGGAGGTTTCCCTTGGACTCTAAGCTGTCAAACCAGAGAACCAAACCATGTCACAGGTCATACAAAACCACGTGTTGCGTGTTGGACAGACCGTGTGTGTTTCCTCACAGGAGGAAAGCAAGAGCTTGCACCCGGCGGGGTACCCGGGCTGCTCTGTGCTGCCCATGAAGTACGGCTACTACTCAGCGGAGGGCTGGGCTGACCCGGCCGTGGTGGTGCACACCAACACACGCCTGCTTCCCAACGCAGGGCTGTATGGAGCCCGACCCGTGTTCCAGACGGTGGCTGCTCACACACAGGGGAAGGGGCAGCAGGATGCCTCTTTGGAGAAGCCCACTGCCCCATGTCAGTCAAAGCAGGAGGAGAACATGGATCCAGAGACCCACCTGGTGTCTCCTACCTTGGACATATCAATAGAGAGTCTCAATCAGCTGATCCTAGAAATCGATCCAACCTTTCAGCCTCTCACCTGCGAGCTGGGGAAGGATGTGGTCCAACCTGCTGCTCAGGGTGACGCCGCTGCCACCAAGAAACAGGATCCAGAAGCAACAGGTGAGGCACAAGGTGCTGGTGGTGCGGTGGAGCCAGCGCAGCTCAGACTTAATGAAAACCATTTGCAAGAGGCAGAGTGAAAGTCCACAGCAGAGAGGTTGGTCACACCAGCCCCAGCCACCTCTTCTGTGGGCAGGATGAGGTCCTCTGCTCCTGGGGTGGGCTGGAAATGGCCATCAGTGTCATCTCCCACCATTCCCAGTGGGGTCAGTGTGGGACACAGTCTCCTGACATCAGGGTTCATATAAAGGAGCAGGAGAACAGACTGTGCATCCAGGCTCTCTGCTTAACTCATGTCCAGATAGCTCAACACAATCCAAAGGAAAACAGGGACAAGAGCCTTTAATTCAACCTCCCGTTTGTTTCCCTGCGTTTGGAGAAAACATTTCTCATTAGAAATGGGATTTGTAGCTCTCAGAAAACACCTAATCCAAGTTGTCACCATCAGTGAGCGGGGACAGGCGCTGACCCTGGTGTGACATGGTTACCCTCCCAGCAGAGCCCTGGTTCTACCAAAGGGCAGCGGAGCCTTTCCCAGGGTCATCTGTGACCTGTGGAAGCACAAGGATTTGAAGCCAGATTTCCAAAGCCTTGGGCTGAGGTACTGAGCGTTACACAACCATCCCATTTAAATGTTCCCAATCATTTTGCCAGGGAAATTCTTTTTGCAGGGCTCGTGTGCTCCTCCAGCAGCGTACCTGGCACACGCAAGGCAGGACATCAGCAGCACATACCAACCCCCTCTTTCTGCTCTCAGGGTGCCTTACGTGAACCCTTTTGCAACACTTCCCTGTCATCCCTGCGATCCAAAGCTGTGCTCCCTCTGCTGCTTCTGATCCAAGTGCTCTGGTGTGCTGGAGGACAGATCTGTTGATGGTTTAGGTGACTAAAAATCCAGCCTCATTGCTTCTGAAAAGCTTTATTGCCTATCTGCATCTTTAGAGACGGAAATACCTTGAAAATCTGTCCCGAGGCCTCTTTCTAGAGAAAGGTCAAATGAGAGGATGTTAAAGGCATGAAAACAATTCTGTTCTCCCTGAGCCCTCATGCAAAGGTCTGTGGGGCTGGAGGAGGACGAGGTGCGTGTCCACACGTTCCCTGAGCTGCAGCACTGGCAGGTGTCAGGGTCCTGATGCTCCAACGGGGAAGCAGCGGAGTCGGGGAGCGCAGGAGCCGGAGCGGTGTGAGCACCCCACGGGGCTTGGGAGCAGGCGGCATCCCTGCTTCCTACTGGGATGGAAGGGGGTGGCCTTGCAGATAAAGTACTGTGACAAAGTGCAAGTTCAGCTCTTGGCTCCTCAGACTCATGTTTGGAGGGTTCAGATGCTGCTTCTTCCTTCAGGCATCGCCCAAGGGCTGGAGTCCCAAGCAGCTCGGCAGGTAGCTGCTGGTGGTTTGAAAATCTGGCTCCAAGTGTGGAACTGAACATCTGGGAATCTGGCCCTGAACTCACTGGGAAAAGCCTCACTTCAGCTTTCATTTTCTTCTAACGGCTCTTCTTTTTTACACAAACTTCCTTCTGCTGCACAGCATCCCTGTCGTGATGTGAGGGCTGGCAGGAGCCTGGTGGTGCCTGGAGTCCACGAGAGGAGCTTGTTCTTGTCGAGTGGAAAACACGAGGAGAGCTTTTAACATCACAGGTGCTGCAGCAATAGGAGACACGTTCATGACAGTCACCAGCTCCCTTGGTACTTGTTCCTGCAGGAGAGGAGAGGGTCTCAGCTTGCGTGACAGCTGGGCTCTGTGTTTGCAGCACTTCTGCCACTCCTTGATGCTGAAAAATTTGCCAAGCTCTTGAGCAAATATTTGAGGTTTAACCACACCTGATAAGCAGGAGCAAAGGCAGAGAAGTAGGAGGCAAAGGGCCTCGTTGGCCCAGTGCACAGAGGCTTTTCAGTTATTTCTTGAAAGGACAATTAAAATCCCCATTTCTTTTCCCCTTTTGAGGGAGACATTGACAAAAAGATTGATGCTGATCCCATCCCACACTGGGATGGGCAGAGAAGGGGCTCGGAGAGTAACTTTTGTACAGACTTGTGCTTTTCCTGCTCATCAAGTTTTGTGCCCCAGAGGTCTGGTTGTTCCTTGTAGGGTCTGCAGTGCTTGGCAGTCAGCAGCTCTGCCTGGCCAGCTGCCCTCACCAGTAAGTCCCAGGGTAGGAACGAGAAACACCAGCTGCCAGGGAGCTCCGGGCTGTTGACATCAGTTTTTCATTGCTGCACCAAAAAGGTTTTCCTCTCTCCAAGCAACACCTTTAAGAAGAGGAACTTTGCTGAACTCCATGGCAGGGCAGGAACCAGGAGCTGAAAACAAAGCTGGGCAGGTTCAGACAAGAAAGCAGGCACATGCTTCCAGCAGTGGATTAACCTCTGGAACAGCTTCCCTGGGGAGGGGATGGACTCACCATCTCTGAAATCAAGTCTGAGGGTCTCTCACTAGAAGGATCTTCCAGCTCAGCCAGAAATTATGGCCTCGCTCAAGGAACCCAGTGACTGATGTGCATCCGGTACCTGGGAGCCAGGCACCCCCTTGGCCTGGCCATGAGGTTTCACAGAAGCATGTGATGCTCTGTCACATGTGTTACCTTATAAACAAAGGCAAGGAAAGGGGTTCAGAGATGTCCTGCTGCCCTGAGCCTGGATGGAAGAGCAGGAAGAAACCCAGAGCAGGGCATGGGCACAGAAACTGCCTCGGAAATGATTTCTCCACTAAATGCAGGATGGGAGGAGGGAAGGGAGAGCAGCTGGCCCCTGTCCTGAGCTTACTGCTGGGATGGCCAGTCCCTTAGCTGGCACCTAAAGCCTTGTAACTGCCCTTGTGCCACGTGGCTTCCCTCTGCCTCCCGCCCCACAGCCGCAGTGCGGATGGAGGGGACGATGGTGCGGATGTCCAGCCGTGTCTGGGGGCTGGGTGACATCCCCCTGTGCTCCTCTGCCAGCTCAGAGGGTTTGCAGGGCCACGTGCCATGGGCACCCTCCGAGCCTGATGCCATCCCTGGGGGGAACAGGCAGATGTTTTTCTCCTGAGTCAGGTACAAACAGGGCGGCTGCTGGAGGAAACACCCGCCTGGCGCTGCAGGTCTCGGCGGCTGGGCGATGCTGGCGAGGGGGGGTCTGTGCAGTCAGACATGACCGTGTGTAACCCCTCTTCCCTGGGCACACGCCAGCACCGGGGTGGGTCGCTGTGGCTTCGTGTCTGTGAAGAAATCAGCCCTCAGAAGGTCCTAATGAAGGCCAGTGTTGGGCCGTGGGGGTCTCCCTGCAGAGCCCGGGGGTCCTCTCCTGAGCCCAACAGCCCTGCAGACCAGAGCCAAAATAACAGCAAGAAGAACAGAGATACACGTGCCTGACAGAGCTTAGCTAACGAACCCGACCTGACCACTGAATGGGTAACGACCTCCTCTTTCTCCCTGCAGACATCAAATACATAGAGATGACACCAGGCAGATCCGTGTGCCCCGAGCTGCTGCAGGGCTCTGCCAGCCCTTCGGGGACACCGTTCTCCAGGTCCCCCCAGGACACCAGCTTCCTGCCCCACAAAGGGGGGTTCAGAGGGAACTACAGCACCAGTGGCAGCCTGTCCCCCGCCCCCCCGGACCCTTCCAGCCCCAGGTTGGGCGCACGGAGCTGTGCTGCCTCCCCGACCCGCAGCAAAGCGTCCGAGCGCGTCGCTGTCCCCCAGCAGCGCACGGCTGGACAGACGGACAGCATCTCCTACGGCCCCGGCGCGCTCGGCACCTCCCCGGGCTTTGACAGTTTGCTGAAGCCAGTGCAGGTGGTG